GATTTGGACTCTTTGGTGATTTATCAGTCTTACATTGCACTTTGTGAGACTAGATTCAGAACCGTGACATGAGTCCGAACTGTAGTAGCTAAGAACACGATTCGCACCCTCGCACGCGGAGCGGAGCGGAGTTCGGGCGGTCTACACACGTATTCAAATAAGTATTGAAATTACAATGCAGTTTGAATGATGTGTCGATCCTCGGTGCATGCAAGACAAATGAACGATGCAAACATACGAGCATAAGGTATGCTAATTGAAACGTGATCCCTAATCTAACCATCAAAAGCGGATAAATAAAAGGGAGAAAGGCGTAGGGTTGGAAGACACGCACACACACTTATTACAACATTGCGCCCTCGCGAAGGAGGGTCCGAATGAATAAGCTAACTAGCTACGCTAATTAAGCTAATACAAACCAAAACTAATTAACTTACTTATTCTAAGCTAATTAATTACAAACCGAATTAATTAATTAAACACTTAACTAATTAATTACAAAACGACTAAGCTAATAAACTAATTAGCTAAACAATTTAAATGAACGGCCTCGAGAAGCGACGGATGCTTGCATGCTCGGTTTGCTTCCTCCCGGAAATCCACCGTCTTGCCATTGGATGCCTCCGTTTACACTCGTTTGATCTCTAAAAATTGTGCCAACTCCCAGAATGCCTCTGCTCCAACTCAGGAACATACTGATGCAAAATTCATTTCTGGCCGGTCGGCTACCAATGGAGGTTGTCGGCTACCATTGGTCGTCGGTCAGCTTTTTCCACTGGCCGGTAGGCCACTGATTTCCTGGATTTCCCTTTTTGCTGCAACAGAGAGCAAACAGAGGCAAAGCAGTGTATTCCAAGGAATATATGTGTGTACTTCTACTCTCCTTATCATTTCTCAAGCTCAAAGGAGTGTAGCTCTTGGCTCTCAAGCCATCAACCAAGCATTTTCATGCATGATGGCCAAAAAACCAAGCTTGTACAAGGTCAATGAATGCACAAACAAGACCAAAAACAGCCATCACCCTATCATGCATGATCAAGGGTAACGGTGACTAAGAAAAGTGGCACGTTTCATCACTTTGAGTATGAAACGTCCCATTTTCCTTGTGTTTGGATTAACGTCCGATCCAAACACATGCAATGCAACACAACATGCTTAACTTGCTCAAGTTTTACTTGTCATGTTTTATTTACCCATTTTAGATTACCAATCCATTCTTTAATCAGTTAAGTCCAAGGTGAGTGTCCTCTAATGAGAGAGGGGTCAACCAAAGGATGACTTAAGGCACGAGAGAGATAATGCCGTTGGTTAGTAGAAACCCTCAAAAGATGATTAAAACCATTAAGCACAAGTCTCAATCTCAAACTTAAGCACAACCTTAAGGCTAACCAACCTCAAAGAAAATGGAAAAGTGAAGAAATGAGGCAGTTACAGATATTTCAGTGCTGAAATGACATGCAAAATGACACAAAATCATGCAAGCAACACATGCAATACATGCTAAAAAGCCAAAAGCACCAAACTAATGAAGATCACAACACTATAGGCATGCAATACAAAGCTCAACTGACCAAACCAGCTCTGGACAGAGTTAAAATAGGCCAAAATAATAGCTAAAATATGTTGAAGTTAAGCTAACACAAGCTAGAATAATAGGCTAAACCATTTGGCATGCTAGACTAATAAGCACAATTGCACTACAAGTACAAAACGCAAGCAACAAATGCTCCAACCAACCCAAAACAGAGTTGAAACATGCAAAAACAGAGCCTAAAACATGCTTGAACTAGGCTAACACAAGCTACAAAATCAAGCTAACATGTGATGCTAACTAGGCATGGAAGCAAGATACAAGGAGGGGAGGCCAACCCCTCCATTTTTGGACTTCAAAACATACTTTTTACCACTGAAATAACTCTGGATTTCAGTGTTTAAAAGGGCCAAAAAGTTTGATTTAAGGATGGTAAGAAATGACACAAAAGGCTTCACAAGCCAAAGAGCAAAAGGGGAGACAACCCCCTAACTTAAAATAAGCTCAAACCACCATTTTTAGGACTGAAAAATAGAGATTTTTACAGTTGAAAACCAGCTCAAAAATAGTGTACAAAGATGGCAAAGCAAGCAATTAAAATAAAGCTTACAAGGTTAGACTTTACCTAAGCACAGCACAAAAACAGACACTATTCTAAGCTTAAGCCACCCTTAGGAGTTCAAACTAAGCCTCAAAGAACCTCAACTCCAAGATGAAGATGTTTGGTTAAGGGTCTTAGTTCAAAAGTGTAGGAAATTCTAACTATCAAACACAAAATAAGAAGAGAGAGAGGAAGAAATTTGCTCAAAATTGTCTAACCCTCTAAAATGAAGGAGAGACCCCCCTATATATAGAAAATCAAGCTAAAGGCTTGTATTCATCCCTCCATACACGTGTATGGAGATGAGCATCAGTGAACAACAGTTGGAAAATAAATATCTGAAAAAGGAGAAAAATGGTCGTCGGCCATCATCAAATGTAGCCGACCGGCCATAAACATAGCCGACTGGCCACCACTGGTGGCCGACAAGCACAAGTCATGGCCGGCAGGTTAGGGAGATGGCCAACAGGCCACCCTTTCCTCCAGAAGTGAAGCAACAAGCTCTTGGTCCACAGCCAAGCACAAATCAAACAAGATTAGAGGCTCCAAGGCATGGCGCTCAGCCGAGACCTTCAGGGACTCAAAATGAACACGAGCAAGAACAATCATCGGGTGTTCAAACGATGACGTCCAAGTCTTGAGGACGGTCAAAAATGGAATGTCTGCAGTTGCCCCTCTTTGACAGAACTCGGAAGTCATGAAATGACGGAAGTGAATGTCAAAACCCAGAAACGACCCGTTTTTGACAAGGCCGAAGACTTAGACAAACAAGCAAGCAAAAACAAAGAACGGTTGCGTCCACAGGCTGCCTACGTATCCCTTTGCAAGGAATCAAACCAGCGTAATTCTGGGGCAAGATGCAAATGACATGCACGATGCAAGAGCATTACTTATGATCATGTAATGAGACTATAACGAAACATCTAGATGCAAATGTTATGCAAAGAAATGCTACATTAAACTCACGCATAAGCAAGTAAACAAACACGCTACGCAGGGGAATTACGAACCAAACCACATTTCATGCAGAAAGGATGTAAGAAAATTATGCAATCCTAACTACGCATTACGAAGAAAAGGTAAAGAACAACACAACCATCTAGCGCACCTGAGGTGGCAAGCAAGATTCCAACGCATGGCACACGCGAAAAAAGAGATGGCGTGAACCTAGGGACACACCCTAAGGTTCCGAACCACAGAGAACAGTGATAACAAATGAAACACATCCAACTATTATGCAACCAAAACGAAGAGTGGTATAAGCATTGGAATCCATCCGGATGCTTTTAACCAAAACATCCTCGCGGGTCATGCGCACGAGGGAAAAGAAAGTGGTGCAAACACCTGAGGGTGGTATAAATATCGAGCACACATCCCAATGTTTCTTACCAAAAACAAGGTGGTATAAGCATCGGAACACGTTCCGAACGCTTCTAACCGAAAGGGTGGTATAAACATCGGGCACACATCCTAATGCTTCTAACCAAAAATAAGGTGGTATAAGCGTCGGAACACGTTCCAAATGCTTCTAACCGAAAGGGTGGTATAAACATCAGGCATGCATCCCAATGTTTCTAACCAACAAGAGAGGTTAGTGTAAACACCGAGCGTACCCGAGTGTTTCTAACCAAAACAGAGTGTGGTGTAAGCACCGGGCGTACTCGAATGCTTCTAACCAAAACAAGGTGTTCAAACGACAAGAATGATCTTACCCAGAATCCCTCTAAATGAACCATACATACAATATCGTTTGGTTGCACTAGCTTTGAATGAACCGTACATACAATATCGTGCCTGCATAAGAAAAAACTTAACAGATACAGCAAGATAGGAATGCATGTTCTATGCAAGATTAACAGCATGATGTTCTATGCGAATGCCAGAAGCGCATATTCTATGCAAACGTGAGAAGGGCATATTCTATGCAAGTGTGAGAAGTGCATACTCTATGTAAACGTAGTAAATGCATGCTCTATGCTCGAGTAACAAATGCATGTTTTATGCTGGTGAGAAGTGCATAATCATGCAGGTACGAGAAATGCAAATTCTATGCAAACGTAGTACTCCATGCTCGAATAACAAATACATGTTCTATGCAAGTGAGACTATGCAGGACCTTATGTGAAAGGCACGTTCCATATAATGACAAAGAGGTGCACATTCTATGCAAAGACAAAAGCGGTGCATAATAAAAATAACTCGATCGCAATCTCCAACCTATCTCTCGGAGGAGTTGCAACAAGTTAAAAGGATACACCTCGCACGTGTTAAGTATCATACACTAAAAACATGGCCCGGAGCTTCTGCAGAGACCATTTGAGCTTAAAAGTGTACTTTCCTTGCACTTTCTTGAGGGATCAGGGCATAAAACAACATAAAAACAACCAAGAAGAGAATCAGAGGCTTGCCGGCCACTCTGGAAAGCCACCGGCCACCCATCGGCCACAAAATAATATCATCAGCCATCGATGACAGATTCGGGGCAATTTTTGCATTTCACCATGGGTCTTTAAATGTGAGGCTTCAACCCTCATTCCCTCACTTCTCCATTGCCGAAAATCTCTCTTTTCCTTCTCTAGACCTTCATCCGCCTTAGATCTGAGCTTCAAACCTATTTTCCAACACCCCAAAAACATTTGATTCGATAAACCCTCATAGTTTACAACACTTTGAACTGATTGAAAGTTGCTTTAGGTGTTTCTTTCTTCATTTCCACCACTTGAGGTTTGTTTCCCTCAAGTTACCCTTGAGTTCAGTGCCCTTTTCCGAGCTTTGACCTTTTCTTCCATTTTTCCTCTCTCAGAGTTGACTTTTGGCATTCCCCGCCCATTTTCCACATTTTCGACCATTTTCTCATCTTTCCTCGAGATGGCGGATGACATCCCACACAAAGGAGCTCCTTCGGGAATGGAGATGGATCCAGAGTTTGAGCCATTGCCGCTCAGTATTCGACCGTTCGACCCGACGACGTATCATCCCAAGATACACGTGCTACCTCCCGATAGCATCCATCAGTTCAGGAGGTTTGCACAAGGCGCTCCTGAGGACCTTTTACTACCCGAGTCGGAGTCACATTTATCCCATGTTGCCTCTAAGGTATACACTTTTTCATTTTTCGCAATGTAGGTTGCACTTCTCTTGTAGCTCACTGCGCCTTTCATCTGTTCATCCCAAATACACTTGTGCATTGTATTTCTTACACTACCTTGCATCTGCTTGTCCTGAACATACCCTTGCACTATATTTCTTACACTGCCTTGCATCTGCTTATCCTACTTACAGGGAGATTCACATGCCATCCGAGGATACGGGACCACCTCCGTGAGGGAGTGGTATATGGAGCATCCTGACGCAATCCGTCACATCATCAACGAGGCTAGCTTCGGTGCATTTTGCATGGGCCTCTCACGTCTCATAGCAAGCCGGCCTCTACTGGGCGCTTTGGTAGAGTAGTGGTGGGATACCACCGATTCCTTTCACTTCTCTGCCGCAAGGGAGATAACGACGACTCCCTTTGACTTCTCTATGCTCACCGGCATAGCGGTAGGGGGTCATCCGATTCCTTACGACACAGATATGGGCGAATGGGAGGCTGCTCAGATCTACTTGCTGGGGATTCGCCCACCCATCTCCCAATCAGGGATGGTCCGATATACATGGTTCGCTGATCACTTCAGAGGGACCGCGCCGACGACCCACGAGGAGACCGAGCACTATGCCCGAGGTTTCTTGATGTTCCTGTTCAGCACTACTCTGTTTGCCGACCGGGCGAACACCGTTGGGCTTTACCTGATGAGCACCTTGGTGGACCTATCCCATGTCCAGCTCTACGACTGGGGCGACGCAGGCTTAGCCACACTATACAGGTATATGAGCTCCACCTCTTGCCAAAGCGGGCATATACTAGGAGGCTACTGGAGGGCCTGGGAGGTATATCCTACCCTTCTGTTTTGCATTTCCTGTTATGTCTTCTGCTTTGCATTTTTCTGTACACTGCACACACTGTATACTGTACACACAATCTGCTTTCTGCTTTACATTTATCAACACAGTGCACACACTATCTTCCTTCTGCATTGCATTCTCTATATATTGTATACACACTCTGCTGTCTGCATCATTTATATTCATTTGTGGTATTCTCACTGTTGTCCTTCCGCCTTCTACGACTATGGGTGTACGCCTATTTTTTGAGGCTTGCCCGAGAGCCAGAGGTGGAGATGCCACCTGTAGTGCCGTACTCCCACATGTATGACAAGTGATGCCAGCGGAGGCCCCGAGAGTCCTTCTCATTTTTTCGTCTATTCTTTGACACTGTGACCACAGTAGAGGTAACTCAAACCTTACATTTATTTCAGCTCTACTTCATATTGCATATCTAACGGTAGCTAACAATCTATATATTCACTATTTACAGATCACCTGGCAGCTCTAGGCGGTGATGCCTAATGGGGTCAGAGATCAGTTTGTCGGTGCTCGGGAGGCTTCCCGATTTCGGATCTTGCTCGAGGGCCTAATTAGTCGGGCGTGGTTCTTAAGGGAGCGATTCCTGCGCCAAACCATTGGCTTACCTGAGCCGGTAGTTCCGATTCCACCTTCGACATACATGACAGCGACAAAGAGATATACTTTCCAAGAGATGATTGATTTCACCAGAGGTTGGGACACTAACTTCTTCCGAGTCGATGGCGATTACACTGCCTTCATCCAGACATACCATATGCCGCCTTTGATTGGCGCTCGCAGAGGCGAGAGAGAGAGCTCCAACTGCGGGAGAGAGAGGCGAAGAGGCCAGGGCGTCCAAGACCCGTAGCAGGAAAGGTTCTCAAACGAGGCAGAGGGCGGGATGGCCAGAGTTGCCTACTACATTAACTTGTTGGCGACCTACAGGGAAGGCTTACCAGATTCCCATTGAGCTTGTACCAAATTGCCATTGAGCCTGTACCAGATGGCCATGAGCTTGTCAGAGTTCGAGGTCCGACCCCGGTATGTACCATACTTTACACTTTGCACATTCAATTCATTTCAGTTATGTTTTATAGACCGCTAATCATCTCAACACATTTACATGCATTCATAGCGTACACCGGGCAGGCTCTCGAGGTAGCGGCTTCTCTGATGGGGGATGGTTCAAACAAGCATGAACCTACTCAGCATTTACGGTATTCTGGTAAGTTTCTTTAGCTTACATTTCATGCCATCAAACCTTATGCTGACACATTAGCATTTCATCTGCAATCTGCTCCATACTGTACTGATACGATACACTGTATTCATTCACTGCATGTTGCATTCCATCTTTGCATCTGATATATACCACAACTAACGTATTTGACAAACTGGCCTTTTCATATCCCAGCCGTACTAGGTGCTCCAGCAGGAGCTGCAGCGAGACCATCTGTACCTCCTCAGGCAGCAGAGAGAGAGAGACGAGGGGATCCAGCGCACAGCCGTGGCAGAGCTAGACACACTAACGACGAGAGCGGCCCATCAAAACCTGTCCCGGATAATGAAGAGACAGATGAGGACGAGGAGCCAACGAGTCCCCAGTCAGAGTCATCTGAGGGTGAAGGCGACGGCACCGGCTCAGGTTCTGAGGGCGATGGCGATACTGAAGAGGGCTCCGAGGAAGGGAGCGGAGGCAACTCTGGTTCAAGCTCCGACTCAGATTTAGACAGTGGCGCCGATGGAGACAGTGTCGTAGGGTCCACTCCGCCGAGGAAGAGGACGAAGAGGGCTTCCAGAGCTTGAGATAGCTGGCACTGATTCAGATGTTTTTACTTAGTTTCTTTTTGCTAGTAGTGTTAGCACATTGTACAGACTTAGACAGTTTTATTTTCTTTAAACTCGCACTCTTTGTAAAAGAAACCATGATTGGAATGAAAAATCAGCTTTTTTGAAAGAAAAAAAATAGTGTTGTATATTATATTCTGAGCATCGCATTGCAGCATTTTACACAAAAACGAGATTGATGGAAATTGAATATTGTACATTGTATTGGCAATTCCTTATCAGGTAGTGAACCGACCAACACATAACAAACAGAGTAAAACAACTCAATGAACAAAACAACAACTCGACAATCAATACAAATACAACTTGATAAGCAATTCGACAACTCGATAAGCAATTCGACAAAATTCTTAAAGAGAGACGGAAAAATGAACCAAGAGTGGAACAAAACACAGATTCTTAGCACTCTCAACACATGGATGGACCAGAGGGCGAAATGAGAGGCCACTGGCCATAAACAAATGTTGCCGGCCACCAAAAATGACTATCGGCCATTAGTAGTAGTCGGTCGGCTACAAAAGTGGCCGGTTGGCCACTAGTGCAAGGAACCTCCAGATTGCTGCCACCTGTTTTCCACTCAGCACCTTATCTTCTACAAAAGCTCCAGCTTCATGGTTTCTTCAATTCAGTTCTATTTTTGCCACAAATGGAGCCATTCTTTGTCGAAAAACTCTTGACTTGGGTTGCAACTTTAGATGGCTCAGAAAAGCTAAATTTCCAGGGTTTTGAGATAAATGCACTATTCCCGCTAAGTTGTACTCCGCTGTGTTTTCCATTTCTTCATGTCGTGGCTAGATGTTGGAATCCGGTTACTCATGTTTTCAGCTTCGGGGGACAAGAGATGTGCCCCACATTTGAAGAATTCCAAATTCTGATGGAATCCCAGCGTGACGAGGAAATCCAGCCCCAGTCGCGCTTTGGCCACATCCAGGCTTTAGGAAGAATGTGCGGGCTTACTTTACATGATGCCCGATCTTTGGTTCACAACGGGGAGTTGGATATTCCCAGCTTGATTCATCGATTTTCTGATGCCGACGACCGAAGCGATCGTCTCTGGAAAAGTTTTCGGCAACATGTCCTCTGCTTATGTATGTTGGCTCATTTTCTACTTGCCCCGGGTTTCGGAGGGTCTAGCATTCGTCTGATCGAAGTGGCCCAAGGCTTGAAAGAGGGCAAGAGATGCATTGGCTTGACACTAGCCGAGACTTTGATAGGCTTGGATGCTTTCCATCGCCGGGAGACAACCAAGTTCGCAGAAAGTCCACTACTCTTACAGGTAATGTTTCCCACCCTTTCTCACATGTGTTTCTCATATCAATCGGCACTCAGGCTCTGTTTTTCTCTCAAAAACCCCTTTCTCACTTTTTCTCTCCACATACACCTCTCTATTCTTTAATCTCTCTTATTTTTCATCCCTCCCTAGATATGGCTCATGGACAGGTTGAAAGTAGTAGACTCTCATCCTGCATATTTAGCGCGCGGCTATTTCTTTTGCTAACGGCTAGTTGATTTCCCCAACGAGGGGTGGTGGTGCCACTGGATGTGCAACAGATCCACTGTTGACATTGCTTAGCGTTGCCCCTGGTTTGATCTGCCTGAGATGAGCTACAGCATGTCTCACCAGCCTGGCATTCAGTTGGTTGGTTTGACACTGTGTCTTCTACTTTCCATTCTGATTTAGGCATCAGTTCAGACACAACCAGACTTGCCCAGAAGAGGGGGCAGAGTACCCGACTCTATTTCCAATCCGAGGTTCACAGCTAGCTCGTTATTCCACTGCGTGGAGAACAAGGGAACTTCTGGCTCCCGCTCCCAATTTCAGTTGTGCCCTTTCTGGTGAATGCATAGCTTGGCTTGAAAGTGAGGCACAAATCGGGCCTACTTTGGCATCTGAAGCTTTCACAAGCTCGGGGAGGGGCGCAGAAACACCTGACTCAACTATGTCCCAAGTTTATTGCTTTGATCTGTACTTTCAAGTTTTCTTTTTGAATGTAATAAAAAAAAAAACTTCGATTTGTATTAAGAGGTAGAGAACTCTGTATTGAAATCAATGAAATTGAAGGTTGTGGGCACTGAAAATTTTCCTTTTGGTCCAAAAATGGTCTAAGTTATAAAAAGATTAATTTGAACAAAATCAACTTTTATTAAAACTTTTTCAAAACCATTTTCGATAAGGATCACAACTGGACACACATGGAATCTATCATTGAGGTGTACAACCCCGAATCCAATAACTGGAAAGTTGCCCTTTGTCTGAATAGCACTGCACTGCACTGGAGATCGCAACCGAACTCTTGGATGCAGAAAAGACCAAGATGACCAGAACAATCTCATGGACACAGTTGATTTGGAAGTGTTTATGGCTGGATTTCAGAATGAAGTTGCCTACGTATCCCGAAGATGGGAATCAAGCCTTACGTAGTTTGGTTCAGGTTCACTCGGTTATTAACACTCTCCTTTTGCGCTCTAACTTTTGCCAAGGCCGCCCTTTCTGGGTTTTCAACCTTGCGAACTCAGTTTTTCTTTTTTTCTAATTTTTTGTGCTCTAACTTTTGCCTAGGTCTCTCTTTCAGGTTTTCGGCATAGCAAGTCACTCAAGGGTAGTATTTCTTTAACTTGTCCATGTTGATTGGTTAGGAGAATTCAAGGCCATCTAAGTCCATAAGAATGGCAGCTCCACCCAACCAGATAGATTTGATGATATAAGGACCAGTCCAATTGGGTCTGAACTTGCCCCTAGGGTCATGGATGGGAGCTCGGTTGTCTTTGAGCACCAAATCCCTTTCTTTCAGATTCCTGGACTTAACTTTCTTGTTAAAAGTCCTGGCAATTCTGCATTGATAACCTTGGACGTGGTACAGTGCTTTCAATCTCCTCTCATCAAACAGCATTAGTTCCTCGAACCTGCTCTGCTGCCAATTCACTTCTGCTATCTGGCACTCAGCTATAACCCGCAGCGATGGTACCTCAATTTCAATCGGCAGAACAGCCTCCATCCCATAAACCAGAGAATACGGAGTTGCCCCAGTAGATGTCTGAATTGATGTCCTATAGCCCCAAAGAGCAAACGGCAACTTGCCAGGCCAGTCCCTGTAGGGTTCTACCATCTTGTAGAATGTGCTTGATGTTCTTGTTGGCGACCTCAACAGCTCCGTTGGTTTGCGGTTGATATATGGATGACTTATGAAAAGCCACATCGTATTTTTTCAACAAGTCGATCACGTCTTTCTTAATGTGGGAACCATTATCCGAGATGATTTCATTCAGGACCTGTAGACTCAACTTTCTTCGTGCGCTCCTCTTTCGGAGAGGCACGAATTGGTCTCCTACAGTTCGGACTCCTGTCAGGGTCCTGAATCTAATCTCACAAAGTGTAATGTGAGACTAATAAACACCAAAGAGTCCAATCCGGCAAATCATTCTGGGCAATTGATTTTAGATCAAGTAATGCCAAAACTGGACTGCTTTGCTAGATTACAGAGTCGCCACCTAAATATTTTATTTTTGGGAAATCTAGGAAACCCTGACTCGTGCCAAAGGCCACGTGTCCGTCATCACCAAAGTTGCCTCGGCTCAGGAACTTGGGTACGAGAGGGGAAGGTCCTGAAATGAGCACCCCCGCTCGCCCGATCAAAGATCGGCCTCTACTATCATGATATGTTGTTTTATAAACCTCGTGTGTTCTTATTCTGATTATTAGCTAATTTTACTATGTGACGCACACACAAGCAAATATAGACTAAATCGCGAGAATTAGAACAAAACAATTCGTGTTTGTTTTCGAAAATGGTTTGAAAGTGCCACTCGTAAGTGGGCTAAAGCGCGGATTTGCCACCCTCAAATGGGCTTGAAAACATGATGATTTTGCCACTTCGCAAAACACGCATTCGTCAAATTGTCTCAATTCAAGCAATTAAGCCTTCATCCACAGACAATCATGCAGTTAATCACTTAAGCAAATAACCTTATGGCAAGCATGCTATCATAGCAACACTCACACTCATGCAAGTATGCTAAAGCGTAAAGACTTACAATGTACTCCGAGCCAAAACAAAAACTAGTTAGAAATATGCATGATCCTAACTATGTAAAATGCCTAATGCAACACATGCAATATGCGATTAATAGGCTTGGCTATCTAAGATGGCATATGAATGCAACAATTTGATACATGTATTCAAAGAAGTATATTGAAATACGATACAGTTTGAATGATACGCCGAGCCCGGTGCATGCAAGACAAATGAATGATGCAAACATGCAAGCATAAGGTATGCTAATCAAAACGTGCCCTACAACTAATCATCGAAAACGGTTAAATAAAAGGGAGAAATAAGTGAGGTTGGAAGACATGCACACACACACACACGCTTATTACAACATTGCGCCCTCTCGAAGGAGGGTCCGAATAAATAAGCTAAGCTAATCTAACTAATCTAATTAAATTGATTAGACTAATTATTACAACACAACATAAAGAAATAACTAAGCTAAGCTACTTAATTATTACATAACCAATGCAAATTAACAAAGTAATTAACGCATTAAACTATGTTGCTACTACTCTGCTCCGAGATGTAGAAGATGCATGCACTCGGTTCTCGCCCCGAAAAGCCTTCCGGTTTGCTCTTGAGAGGCTCTGTTTGCAGGGTTACTCTAAGAACTTTCTGCTCCACCTTACCAATTCACTGCTGAGGAATGCACCAGTGGCCTGCCGACCATAAGTTCTTGCTGCCGGCCATCTGTCGGCCAAAGAGAGGCACTACCGGCCATCAATACACCAGTGTCGGCCACTGATGTACTGAATTGCCACATTGCAACAGAGCACAAACAGAGGAAAATGGAGGGTTTTCCAAGGATATGTTTGTACCATGCCCCTCCTTATCATCTCAAAACATCAAAGGAGTGGCATTCTTTGAACCAAAACCACCAATCAAGCATTTTCAATGCATGATGGC